ATATATGATTTACGTTAATGCAAACTTATTGGGGAATGATATGATTGGGATAATAATTGGACTTATGGAAGTAAGTCTAACTTCTAGCCAAACTTCTTTATACTATCGGAAGGAGGTAAGTAAGAGTTCTTTTCTTATTTGTCAGCTTAGGCTAAAAGTTGTAGACTAGATCTTTTCCTGCAGCGAGTTCTCCTAGTTCCATGTGGGATCGACAACTAAACTCAAGCCCAGTACTATTGATACGTCACATATATTTGCATGAGCTGTATGTGCTTCGCAGCACTTTGTGTGTGTCATCTTGTCATATTCAAATTCAAGATAAGCCATGTTAATTTTAATACAACATTCTCTGCTTTAAAAAATGCATAAATTAAAAAAGAGTTATACTAAAAAAGTTTTATTTGAGTAATTTTAAATTTAAAAGTATACCAAATTTGTTCTTAAATCAAAATTTAAATTAAGAAGTGAAACCAATAAAGCAATATTAATGGGAATTTTAAATTTTAAATTAGATGATAATCTCTACCTTAAATAAGTCATAAATTAAGGAGTTATGCAACTATTAAAGATAATTGTAAATTATAAATTAGCATTTTCTACAAGAAACACTGTTAATATAATGAGTTTTACTAATGAATTATTTTCATCAAAGTTATTTTTTAAATTTTACTATAATTAAGATAAGACTATATCCATGTAAGTGTTTATTGAATTTCCTTTTTTTGTAATTAGCATGAATTAATATGTTCTAGCCTTGTGCTAGAAAAAACATTTGGATTAAATAATCTAAGGTGCTTTTCAATTTTATATAAAGCTTGGATTAAGTGGTTCTCACCTATGAAAACTTTGTTATTTAATTATGAAATAATAGTTATATTTTATTTCAATAACAAATGAAAACAAATCTTTTTGTTACACAATTTAAATTTATTATTTATAGTTCAAATGGCATTATTACTTTATAATTTAAGCATTGATTCAAGGGAGACATAACTATTTAATTTAAGATATACAATTACCTTCCATAATGATTTATTATTACAATTATTTATTTATGCTTACATCAAAGGAGAGAATTTTGTTCAATTGTTTACATGGCTCCTTAAATATGAATTTGATGAGTTGTTATAATTTATGGAGATAAAAAGTGCCACTATGTTTGTAAGTGGGTCTGGAGGGGTCACCCAAGCATATATGTTATCAATAAATATCAAATAAGTTTTGTTTAACATGATGAATATAACATCATCACAATCTATACAAAAGAAATTCAAATTATGGAAAAAAATCATTATTTACTAATGTTTGAAATACAATATAATTATAATCTCAAGGTTAACTTTCTAAAGTTCCCATAAGATAGAGCAACCTAGCCTTACCTCTAATTATAGTACCAAAGGACCCTTACATCATTCAATCCATGTTTATTTTTTCTTATATGGATATCACATATTTATAGAATCTATATCATCATTATAAGAATAAAATAATCCAATTAAATTTTTCATTAAGCCAATAATACCACCTTTTAAATTAAGATTTAAAATTGACTTCAATAATACATTATTATTATGACTCCTCTCTAAATATTATTTAGCTTAAAATTTAAAATTACCTCTAGTAATTGGTTTATTCCTCCACAAGTTCAGCATTAAGTTAATCTTGAGATCACTATTTAAATTAAATTTTGGAATTACCTCAATAGTATTTCATTGATAAAATTCCTTAATTAGAGTCTTGCTTTAAGGGAGAGAGTGATACTCAATGTTCGATATGGCTCATCTTCAAATTAAATTCACACATGTGCCATAATTTGATAGTGAGAGAGGGAAATTGTTGAATGTTTCATGACGGGAGGTGGAGGGGTTTGCCAAACATAAAATTATTCCATAAGTTTCATTAAATTGAACTACCACATGATGGATATGATAAATTTATTTTTTTGTTTATTACAATCCAAGACATTAGGAGGCAATGTTTTTTTTTTCTTTACAAAGCTTATGGTAGCATATCCAAAAAAAAATATCATCATCATGATCGCAATGCCTTAAACTTATACAATTATTTTATATGAGTTTTGGATGAAGCTTACTAGATTCCCTCAAATGGAGATGTTGATAAAAGTTGTTGGATAGGAATGCCTCAAGCAAGGTGAACCAAATAATTAATCAAATACTCTTCCTTAATCTAACCATTTGGAGAAAATTTTTGGATGATGAAGGTGATGGCAAGTTAAGAGACTAAGTGTTTAAGGCTTTACAAATGCATTGTTATGAATTTGCAAATGCGTTGTGTGCACCACTTTAAGGATGAAATGAGTTATGATCAAAGAAAAATTTTTATCGTTGAAGAAGACTCTAGCGAAGAATCTGTCAAATTAAGGAACAATCTGCTTTGATTAGGTTGTATTGATTCATCTTAAAGTTAACATACAACAAATTATGATTAAACTCTGGGACATATTATTTTAGAAAGAGTTTCTCACATTACATAAGTTTACTTAATTTAATAAATAAATTGGTGTGAAAGATTTGTCAAAATGAACATATGTAACAACAACAACAACAACAAAGATAGCTACAAGAAACCTTTTTGCCATTGCATTTTATGTAGTGTCGTATTTTCATTTAATGGTAATAGATTAAGATAATTTTCATACAAAATGCTCAAGTCTTTTTAAATCTATCACATCCTTTCTTAACATAAGTCGAATGTAGATCATCTACTCTCGTAACCTGATCACCAGATGGTCAACGTTTAATATGACCAAACCATCTGAGACGATTGTCTAATCTTTTCTGCCACTGGAGCTACATCAATCCTATCAAGGATATATTCATTTCACATTATGTCTCTCAGTTTCATGGCTCAACAACACTTAACTTCGTTTTATGCTTCTCTTTTAAAGGCCAACATTCTGCGTCATAGAGCATTGCATCTTATTAAGATTTCCATTAAGTCTAAGCAATATTTTTTATCACACAAAAGTCCTGAAGCATTCCTCCACCTCAACCAACCAACTTTAATTCTACTAATAACATCCCCATCTATATCATCAACAGCTTAAAAAATAGACCCGAGATATATAGAAATTTCACACCTTTTAATGATCTGATCTCTCATAGTTACAACTATGCCACTAGAAGTACTACTACTAAAATTAACATTGAATTTATCTAGTTTTAGATCTACACTGAAGGCTTTTAGACTCCAATCCAGACCTCCAGAATTCATTTTTTTCCTAAAATCTTTCGAAAATCTTATCCATAAAAAGGATATCATTAGCGAAAAGCATACACCAAGTTACATCCTCTGGTAAATGTTTGGTCAGAGCATCCATAAATAAAGCAAATAGATATAGGCTTAAAGCCAGACCCTAATGTAATCCAACTGAAGTAGGAAAATACTTGTTCAATCCTCCTTATGTTCGAACACGAGTAACAGATCTTGTATACATATCTTTAGTAATGCATCAACGCCTCTCCTCTCTAAAACTCTCCAAATGACTTCTCTTAGAACCTTATCACAAACCTATTCTGAGTCAATAAAAATCATATGTAGATCCTCCTTACTCTTTGTACTTTCCATCAAACCTCTGAATAAATGTAAAGCTTTCATAGTAGAGTTGTCAGACATCAATCCAAAAATGATTATGAGAAATCTTTGTATTAAGTCTTAACCTATTCTCAGTTATCCTATCCCATAATTTAAAAAGATGACACATCAACTTAATTCCTCTATAATATGCCCATCCTTGTGCATCCCATTTATTTTTAAACATAAGGACAAAAATACTCTTCCTCCACTCTCCTCACATCCTTTTAGTTATTAAAATAATATTAAAGAGTTTAGTAAGCCAAGAAACTCTCAAATCATTTAAATATTTTCACATTTCAATTGTTATTTCATTAGGTCCTACTAATTTTTTGCTCTTAATTTTTTCACTTTAATTTTCTTTAAATCTTCCTCTAACTTTTTTTTTTACTAATACGATTGTAAAAATAAAACATTATATTATTATCAATGATATTAAGATCGCTTAGGTATATCGTACATTTGGAAACTTCATTGAAAATTTTATCAAAATATCTCACCCATCAATGTTGAATATCTTCTTCTAAGAAAAATACTTTTTAGTTTTAATCATTAATACCTTTACTTAAATTAAATATTTGCTTTTTTCTCTTTGTATGAATGATTTATAGATATATTTTTCACCCTCTTTAATATCTAATCTATTATAAACATCACTAAAAATAGAATTTTTAGCGTTATAAATTATTATCTTAGACTTCCTACTAACCACATTATATCATTCCTAGTTCTCTAAGCTTTTAAATTTAAACTAATATTTACAACACTTGTTGTATTTTATCTCTTCTTCCACATTATCAAGTTTATTTCATCATTGCAAAGACATCCGCTAAAATTTGAACGAAACAGATATCAACATAACTTTACACAAGGATGACACGTATAAATTGAAAAACATGAACATATGCAATAAAATAAGAAAATAATAACTACAATTTATAAATATTTATGAATTTATTAAACAACTTTTTTTTTATATCCCTAATTAAATTATAAAGAGAATAATACTAGGAAGAGAATTTATCAAAACGAGGGTTTTTTTTTACAACATTCTGGTCAGACCAGATCACCTAAGTCACAGAAAAGGAAATGATTAAAGTTGGCCAAAACAAAATTATTGATAGTTGGTTTGGGCACTGGTCCATCCATCATCTATCATATGTTCTCCAGCATGTAAATTTACGTATTTTATCTACATCTAATAATATTATCGTAACAGATGAGACGTAGCTAATTTAACCTACAGTAAGAAACATATTTATCATAGGAAAATTTGGAACTCGATTGCTTCACAGTTCCAGAGTTTAATAACTCAGTGGAAGTTAGTTGTCCAATAATATAATAAAATTATTGACGGTTGAAAATTGAAGTTTAGTTATCAGATATGTAAATACATAAGATTTGCGTGGTAAGAATGTAAATCTTCCATAAAAACATGAATCCTAAATAAAACATCTCAGTTGATTGTCAACACTCAGAATTTAGTAACCCAACAATCAAACGTTAAGCTTATAAACGACAAACTGTCATTAATATTAAGCGATTCACCAAATCAAATTGGGACTGGCTGTCTTCGGTCATGCATCAGGAATATAGGTGCATTAATTACCCCAAAACTGATGGATTGACAACATGACCAAAGAACAAAATAGAACCTGCTACATCTTCTCGAAGAATAAACATGAAAGGATGATCAGCCACGAATTTCGCTGGCGGAGTGTAACATGTTAATGAAAATGTTAGCCCTGTCGCAGCTGCTGCCACCGTGCCTTCTTCATCAATCTCAATCGCAGCTTTATGGTGTACACTCGACACACACAGTTTTGCTGATTCCAAACACATTCCACTCAAATCGGCATCTGGCCAACTGAAAAGGCTTCTTAGGCCGAGATTTGACAGTACGTCAGTTGTTTCACAACTGAATAAGATCTTAAACTTCGGAACCATGAAGTGATTAACTTTAACTCTCCGGTAAGGAACGTGCTCGTCTATGAAATTTGGATCTGAAACAGCTCGGCTGATAAGATCATGAAGCCCGTTCTTCTTGTCTGGTAGAAAGAGCAGCAGGGAAAAGCTACGTTTTATTTGGTTCTCTCCTTGTTGCTGATAAGGAAGTTTGAGGACTTGGAATCCATCATAAGATGAGATGAATTGATCCTCTCTGCTGCTCATGAAGGGTACTTGAATGGTGCTGCCATCTAAGAGATAAAAATGGTTATTTCCGGTGATGGAGCTATCGAATTTGTTTTGCCACTTTCCTTTGAAGTAGAGGGCGTTGGCAAGGATTAACCTGGTTGTGTTTTGTACTGCTCCATCAGGGATGAGATTTTTTATGATCCCATTGGTCTTTTCTTCAATCCAATTGTTAATTTTTTTTTGTTCGCGTGGAGCCTGCATCATGAAAAGAGACATCAATTGAATAATCAACTTTAAAATGTTTTAATATTTTGGCCAAAATATGGAAAAGATTAATTATTGATGCTTGTATTTTTTCATGCCAGGCCCTTCAAATTAAAGTTTTGTCGATAGTCCTCAACAACAATAGCAACTGTCCCAATGTGATGGTTGTTGATATCAATCAAAAATATTATACTAATTTGGCTGCACCGAAGATTCAAGTTAAATAAAATTTAGTGAGTCTAATAAATCCGGATTTATCAAATCTAGATGTGTTAAATCTAGAAAAATGTTTGGTATGACTGAAGTTAAATCTGTCTGTAATGTTTGGCGATACGTCTCTTCCTCATGTGCAACAGGAAAAGCAACGATGCTTTTCTCAAATCCGGCAAATCCACCTATCTATCGGAATTAGAAAATTTGGGAATTACGTTACAGTAGAGAAGAAAAATAATTTAGGGAAGTGTCAAATTTCTCTCCACGGGATTTTCGAGTTTGGCTGGATTTACATTAAATCCAACCCAAATTCTATTAAAAAAGGTACTACCAAAGACCCGGCCTACTCTTTGCCTAAATGATTCATGTAATTAGAAAATGAATTTCACTCATAGATATTTCTTAATGAAAGTAATATATTTAGTTTTAATTAAAGTATTTCAGCTAATATTAAACCCATTAACGATTTAGGTTTGCATAAAAATTCCTTTGTAGTATCCAAAAAAAAAAAAAAAGTCAAATGGGAATAGTAAGTTTTGCGGCAATGAAACACACCAAACTGCTTGATTTAAACATAACCTTAAGGACTTTAAAACTATTCCATTTATCAGATCCATCATTGGATTTATATAATTAGCATCAATGGAACTCTTTAACTCTAGAAGCAAGATCAAAACCTGACAATATCACATTCACATATAACATGGTAGGAAAGCAAATAATCCTTTCTTTCAAGATATTTTTATTTCCACAAGCAGCCATTTCATCAAGGATCAAGAGCAGTTAGACACACAAACACACACGCAAACACAGAGAGAGAGAGACATACATAGTTAAGAGAAAAAATAATGGTGAGATTCACTATCTATTTGATTAATCTCATGGAAATTGTACGCCGATAGTCAACCAGTCAAGTTAATCAAGTCATACTGTAGACTTGAATTAGGTTCAGCAAGTTGCCAGCACTAAATGAATGGCTAAATCTTGAGGTCACCTTCCATACACTTCTTGCTAAACCTCCTAAACATGGTCGCCTTTGATAATTCGGAAATCGATAATAGAAAGGACATTTACACCCATGAAACTCGGAAATTTAAGCGCTCTCCAAATCCTTTCGATAGAACTTTTCAACAAGTTAACTTAGCGCAACATTTTATCGACACTTCGTAAGTAAATTTACTTATATTACTCTTGATTTTAGCTTTTCCTGTAACACAAAATCTCAACATAACGTCTAACATAGAGGGTAGGAGGATGAGCTGGGAAGTTTAATATGCGTAAATAAAACAATAATATGCTTATCAGAAAAGTTTAATTTCTCAGTTTAGTTTTTTTTTTTCCTCTTATCTTCTCTAATACTCTTAATTTTTGCTTATCAGAAAAGTTTGTTGTCACAAAAAAGGGATTTGGATCTCATGTCCTAAACTGTGTACTGCATGTTGAAAAAGCCAAGAACAACAAGCCAAGTCACGGAAGGTCCTCATGAAAGGGAAAGATCTCTACAGGTAAAAAAACAAAATTTTGTTACTACTAGAAAATTAAATCGAATGGAGTATTGCTAGATAAGAATGATCTAGGGAATCCTTGAATAATTTTCAAAGAACAAGTAATATTTCATCACATATGGAGCAAGGATCTTCTGGTTCTTTTATCCATCAAGGAATTTTTTTTTCATCTCACGTCAACTTAGCTAGGACTCTTAGGATCCAAGGATGACTTAGACTAATTAACATGACACTAGCTTCTGATTGACTAAGCCTTCACCTTGATTAGGCCTTATTGTTGGTTTTACATGTGCTAAAGAGGAAGGTGCTGTTGAATTGGGCTTTTGGCTTTTAAATATGTAAAAGTCAATATGATCAAAATCAATAGTTTGTAGTAACAGTAAAAGCAACATCAAAATATGCTGAGACAATTAATCGTTCAAATACATACAGCTTTCGAGTTTGTTATGTGTGGAGCCTGATTAGCAAGGAGAAGCGCCTAGGAACAGTGCAACGAGAAACCCAGCACCTAGGGGCGCCCATGCTCCTAGCAACAGGCAGCCCAGCGCCAAAGCAAGCACCCTAGTGCCAGCTAGGCGCCCCACCAAAGCTTCTGAGGCGGAAACCCACTTCCAATAGTGGCACCTAAACAACCAGAAGACTCATTTCCAGCATTGTGGAATAGAGCTCCCAAAGACGGGGCCAAGCGGTGGTTCTTAGGCACCTATAACCGCTTTCTGCAGTTCGAAACTTTAAGTTTCATGTTTCTTCACCGTGAGAGGTGTGTGTGACTAATGCGAAACGATGTTGCAAATTGTTAAGCGTGTGACTAATGCGAAACGATGTTGCAAATTGTTAAATTTTTGCGAGTTCATTTTTGTGAATGAGAAATGAGAAGAACGTTCGTGTGTTCTAGGAGAATAGAGAAGCATGAGTTTGTAATATGTACAATTTCTCCTCATTTCTTAGTGTAGTGTGGCTTTGTGATTTTTTATGTCTCGGGTGTTTCTACGCTAAATCTTTGATGTGCTTTGAATATTTTTCTAGTATTACTTGTTTGTGCGCTTCTATTCAAGTATTTAGTTCTGAATTTATCAAATCAATTTTTGGCGTTTATCTTAACCTCATAACAAGTGGTATCAGAGATCGGTTCTCTAAAGTGCAATAATTTGAGTGAGAGCAATAACCGACAAAGCAAGGTACAGGGTGAGAAGTTCAATGGTAGATTTACGTTCTGGAAAATGCAAATTATATTTGCCACTAGAAGGCATCACATTGAAGTCTGAATCGATGACTCTGAAAGAATGGGAAGTGTTTGATCCAACAATTCTAAGTTTGAATTGACCAACTTTCCTCATCTGCTGCTTTCAACATTGTGAATGAGAAAACTAAAGTAAATCTTATGGTAGTAACCCGACCCGCAATTACGTATTTATTTAAGTCCAAAAAGCTGGTCAAAATGTTGACCCAATTTATATTAAACGACTAGTGTGAAAAATAAATGTATAAATAAATTGATTAATGGTTTACACACTATGGGTAATACATAAATATACGTATCTTTTTAAGTAAAATAGAATTTTCTTTAAAAGCCCCATTATCAAACCTACAAGGAAATAAGAAAACTACTATGTGAACTTAGAAATATTTCTACTTAAATTGTAAACTAAATTTGCAGGAGCGAACTTAGAAATATTTCTACTTAAACTGTAAACTAAATTTGCAGGAGAATAATATCAATCAGTTTGTAAAAGGTTGTAACTAAAGTAGCTAATAAAAATAAATGCAAAGTTTCAAAATTAAAAATGTGTAAAGTAGTATGAATATAATAACAAGTCTTTCCCCTTTGTAAAGAGATTGTAAATTGATCCCGAGAATATAGTTGTGTAAAAGTTATATAGTTGACTCCGCTATGCAACAGTGTCAAAAGCATGATACAATATTTTATGAATAAGAAATTTAAGCAATTAATGTCGAGATTCTACGCAAGTATACGTATTATTATCAAGTAATAATTGACTTTTTATTTAAGCCCCAAAATATCAATTTCACAGGGAATGTTTAAATATGAAGTGATACATTAATTAAGAAATTCACAGAAATCAAACGAAATTACTGTCACTAATTTCGAATGTGTAAGATGCTAACAAAAATAAATTATTTAACTTTAGCAAAACTAAAATGAAAAGTTTAAACAGTAACTATTAAACTGTTAAACTACGTTTATGCGATGAAGATTTCTTATGTGAAAAGCATCTTACCCACTACAATGAGGTTTTGGCGAAATGAGACGAGATAAATGGTTTAATATGTATTGTGTCAAATAGGAGCAGTTTTAATTTTCTACCCTGATACAATGTTATAGAAAATCATTGGCTAATTTCAGGTTTAATCCATAAATTCATGGCTAGACTAGAAGGATACTGGTTCCCACTCCAGAGCTCCAACATTCCTTCACCTGAAGGCTAACTCTCGCTCTAGTTTTTAAACACTAAGACCGAATTGAGATTTTAGTCTGTCACCCTAAAGATTCTCCAATTCTACACCCAACAAAGTATATTTTTCTATTTACTTGCACTTAATTCCATGAACGAAATTCTCTTTCATGGAATTAAATGTGATCCTCACTCTGTTGCAAAACTCCATTTCTCGGATCATACGTTTCACAACACATTTTAACAATTCAATTGACCAGATAGAAAAATAAATTAAGTTCGAAGTTGAAAAATCATTACAATTTATTTTATATTTTATATTACCACATTTATATTATCTCATCATTTCACCATATCTCAAAGTATGGAGAAAGATAAAGGAAACTACTCAGACTTCATGAGAAAGATGCAACAAAACACAAATTTCATATAAAAAGGAAAGTTCATACAATACTAATAAACAAACACTTATCTAAAACTCTTTCTCAAAGCAAATCCCTTGTAGCCTATCATAGGAAATGTATGAAAAAGAAATCTCTCACTTTTCTCCTTCTCTAACACTCTTAGAGAATAATTCACACTTAATCTCACCACAAAAACTCTAAACTCTTAAGGAAAACTCACTAATAGACTCTAAAATGATGGTGAAATGAAGATGGAAATGAGAAATGGCGCTAAAGGAATGAAGTGGAACGAAGAGAAACCAAGAGAGAGTCCAAGAGAGCCCGAGAGTCCAAGAGAGCCCCCCAAGAGAGAGTCCAAGAGAGCCCTTTTTCTGATGAATTTCAGCCCCTAATATAGCCTAGAGTCGATTCTCCAACAGTTGTATCCAAAAACTCTTCAAAAAGCATCCAGATTC